AATTCTAATAAACTTGCAATTGCAAGAAAAAAGTCAGAATTGTGAGATAAAAAGTCACAATAACCTTTTTTTTTTTTTTTTTTCAGTGGCAGAAACGGGCTTCCATACATTTCAGATGGATGGTCATTACTATACTTTTATTTACCTGCACCTAAATGTCAACATGTCTGCGCTTAACTAAAAAATGTTTTTTTATATTGTATTATATTATATTATCTATTGTGTGCATGTATTTTCTAGATTATTACTGTTTATGAAAGCTTGTTTCTTCCCCAGAGAAAATAAAATAAAAAGATAACTGTGACTTTATTTCACATCAATTGCAACTTTATATTTCACAATGCTATAATTCACAATCAGAATTGCTACTTTATTTTTTGTAGTCTTGATTTATTTTTCAGAATTTATGACTTTACATCTCACACTTGCAAATATATATATAAGTATGAGTTTGTATCACAGAATATGATTTCTTAATAAAAAATCTCACAATTACATTTTTATATTTTACTATATGTTTTATATGGTGAGGATTAAAATAACTCCTGTATAATAACTTGAAGTGATTTTGTTTCTTTATTGCAAACATTAAAACAATACTATTTATTTAGTTATTTATTTTTCTCAAATTTAGCTCAGCAGACACCTTCTTTCTGAGATAATAAAAATATTTACCTACATTTGCAAATTGTCAGTGACTAATATATTTTACATATATTATATTTTTTAGGTTGGTGAATAAAATAACTGCTGCATAATAACTTGAAATGATTTTGTTTCTTTATTGCAAACATTAAAAAAACAAATACTATTTATTTATCAAATTTAGCTCAGCAGACACCTTCTTTCTGAGATAATAAAAATATTTACCTTCATTTGCAAATTGTCAGTGACTAAGAACTGAGAAAAACTAACCGTTTTAAAGTCTCTGAAGGGCACAAACTGGACGATGTCCCTCAAGACGGGTTCCCCTTTGGGTGAGCGCAGGACTCCATCATCCCCATCAAGGATCTGCATGTCTGTGAAGTCGGCGTTTCCCACTCCCACTATTATGATGGACATTGGCTGGTAGGAGGCCCGAACAATGGCCTCCCGTGTATCGGCCATGTCTGTTACCACCCCGTCTGTGAGGATCAGCAGGATATGATACAGCTGGCAGAGAAAAGGGTTGTTATCAGGTATGTTGTCTGATTTATTATTCAATGTTATAAACATGTCTGGAGCTTCATCCACTAAGCATTCACTTTCAAGGAAAAATGTCCATTAATGGAAATTGTCATTACTTACTGACCCTCATGTTGTTCTAAACCTGTATTCTATTTTTTCAGTGGTACAAATCAATTTGTTAAGCATAAAAAAGTGGAAAAAAAATCAACATGAATGATTCTTTCAAAATTCTATTGAACATAAAAAATTACTTAATTTGGGTTCGGAACTAACATGAGCGTAAGTAAAAAAATGAATTTTTATTTATGGGTGAACTGTTCGTTTAATTGTCTCGATAGTAATGAACAGAATATTGGATACCCTACTAAAATAGGCAGTCAGTGGGCTAAAATTAGCCATATTTACTGGCCTGAACATCCCCATAGGTCCTGCCAACATTAAACATGCAATATCTACAGTTTGAATGAATGGCCTGGTTTCTGAACATTGATCTCACTGAGCTCATTTACTGAAAATGATCACTTTTTGGGAAGGGGTGATGTAGGATTAAATAATAAATGAAGATCATCACAAGGACATGGTGTGCAGAAGACAGCAATGAAATAGAGCAATGCATAGATAATTGCTAAGCTCGAGGGCAAATATTTGACCCGAGACCATTTAATGACACGTAAAGGGACTCTGAATGGATTGTAGTTGCGTTAATTACCAAAGCAGCCCTCCAGATAATCAGCTGAAAACACTTTATGCACATTACCTGATGCATAATTCCTCTGTGTTTATTTTTAATGAATTTCCCTTTCAGTGCTGTGCCATAAACGGAAACTTTAAAGATACTCACAGAAGCATCTTTGATGGGTTCTTTCCCAGCCGCTTGCTTAGCTATTCTGTTGATGATGGGAGCCGCATTAGTGGGACCGTAGAGCTGGATCTTTGGCAGGCAGTTTTGGTAGGCTTCCACAACCCCCTGGATCTCTGAACAGAGAGAGAGGGGACACGGCTAAAACTTCTGTTCTGGAGGCTTATTTGTCTCGACGGGCTTCTGAGAGCAGTGCTGAAATATTGGCAGCGAAAGCAACAGATTTTGAGATCAAGAGACTGACTTGGAGCTCTCCGTCTTCTGCAGAAAGGACTGAAGCAAGCCCAAGATTGTCCACAGTCTTCACACATTCTCTTTGAGTGTTAAAGGAACTGTTCACCCAGAAATTAAAATTCAGTCATTCACTCACCCTCATGCCGCTCCAAAACCATATGACTTTACTTGAAGCCTTTATGTATAATGCATTATAAAGGTATTCATAATGTATGTTGCAATGCATTATATCGTTTCACACTAATTTTGGTTAACTGTAACCAAAATTAAATGCATAATAATATTTGCAGATTTCTTGTTATTACGCATTACGCATTATACTTTCTAAAGGTGTAACAATGAATAGATAAGTATTATAATGTAGTATAACTGTGGTTACAAATATTCCAGATCATACAATGAATTATAAGGTGCATTATATAAATAGTGCATTCAAAAATTTTATAATAATTGTAACCAAAGTTAAATGCATAATAATATTAGCAGATTCCTTGTTACATCTGAAACTGGTTGTTTGTCAGGTGCATTACGCATTATACTTTCTAAAGTTGTAACAATGAATAGATAAGTATTATAATGTATTAAAACTGATATTCCAGATCATACAGTAAATTATAAGGTGCATTACAAAAATACTGCATACAATTTTTTATAGTGCATTATATATAAAGGCTTCAAGTAGAAGCGTTACTGACATCGCTTCTTCCGTGAAACACAAAAGCGATATGATATGTATATATAATATGTATAATATGATATGTGTGAAAAATAGTCTAAAATTTTGTAATTATTCATAACAGTGCTAAATCCAGTTTTTTTTTTAATGAAAGCTGACAGTAAAGGACAAGATTAATAAGATAAATAGAATATATATTTGGATCTGTTCCTCACACAAAGATACTGCTTTTTTTTTAAAGATTGGCCATTCCTCGACATTTCTCCTTTTGTGTTCCACAGAAGAAAGAAAGTCATATAAAGTTTGAAACATCAGTGAGGGTAAATGATGACAGACTTTTTATTTGTGAGTGAACTTTTCCTATAACTGTGACTAAAGCTTCAAAAACATTGCAGAGTGTCTCTGTTCAGTTCCCATGAGATCACTAACATGCAAAGTGCTTGTCGCTCTTACCTTCACATTCATCATCCTCCAGGTTGAAATTTATGGCAAAGTCATGAGACACCTGTAGTTTGGAGAAGAAAAACACACAGTAAGGGTTTGTTTATCTGGCTTCAGCTTGTTTAGCATGCTATTACACACCAGTTTTCTGGTTAAAAACCTAATTCAAGGTCATAAATCCTGCTCTTAAATGAAGGCAATAAATCATGCAGTGCTGGTTAGGCTTATCTGAATGTTTCTAGGAAAAATACTTTCTGCAACACTATGCATGAAATGACCAGATGATGATGATGCTAAAACAAAATAGCATCCTCCCTACAGATATTCCATTGTAAGCAACGACCACTGTGGGCCCCCTCTGGTACATTTTGTTGCACACATTTTATTGCAATTGATTTTCTTTTGATGACAAAGACATTCTGAATATAATTATTATTATTGTATTTATAATAGAGCTCATAACTAGTGCAGTGCAATCGGCTGCCATAAAATGAAATCCTGTGACAGTTTACTGTCAACACTCAGGGAAGCCTTTTCAAGCTGTTATTATTTTAATTATGTGAGAATAGCCCTTTCTTCTGTAAAGTTGTTATTACATGAGAGAGAGAGTCTGTAAATAAAAATAAAACAAGTTATGACTCCACATATTTAAGATACAGAGTGCCACTTAATTGTATTGAATGTGCACTTGTTGTGTACTTCAAATCTTAAAAGTATATATATATATATATATATACATCTGTTCCATCTTTATTTGACCCTCTAACTGTAGTACTTTCTATTCTATTTTAATTCTACTTTATCTATTTATCTTCTTTTTTATAAAAAAAACACTATCTTTCTATTTTTTTCTATTCTATCTACTTGTTTTTCTTTGCGTGTGTCTGTGTGTGTGTGTGTGTGTGCATGTTTATGTGGTTTATGAGGACACAAATTTGTATAATAACATGCACGCTGGGCTAGATATACAGTAACTTCAAGAAAGAGTTCCTGATGAAAAAAAAAAAACCTTGCTGCGTGTACTGCGTTAGGCTAACTGAGACTTGACATTTGCACTTACATATTGTTGCTCTTTTGTTAGTTTTGATTGCTTCTATTGTCCTCATTTGTAAGTTGCTTTGGATAAAAGCGAATACTAAATATAAATTTGACAAGCTACTACTAAACATATTGTAGAAACCTAATTTTCGCTAAAGTTGCTTTGCAACGATTTGTATCGTGAAAAGTGCTATACAAATAAACTTGAATTGAATTGAAAAGTGTCTGCTAAATGACTAAATGTAATGTAAATGTAATATATATATATATATATATATTTGTAAATAATATAATACAAGGCCACTTAAGTGTACTTACAGAAAGAACACTTTAATAACACAAGTACATAATTAATGTCAAATTATAGGTTTTACTTTAAAGTGCATATTTAATCATTTGTTTTAATAATCTCTTGCCATGCTTTAAAGTTCACTTATTTCGATGTGTTTACTAACATACTATAGCACTTGTAAAGTACTTGATTATAACTTTAACTGCAGTGTTATTCAATATTACATTTGAAAATATATTTTAAATGTACTAAATTGCAACTTCATCATTACAAATATGCAGTTGCAAATATATTTAAATACATGACACACACGTTTCAATACAAATGGCATTAAAGTATATTTTAGTTTACCATAAATGCTTGTCAGTACATTCACCAGTACACATCAATCAAATTTAATCAAAGACAATGGAATGAATTATGAAATTACATATACTGGTGTACTTAAGTCCTACTTAAGTGGGTCAAAAGCACTTAATATAATTTAGACTATAATACACTATTATTTAATCGCAGTTAACATGGAATTAAGTCTCTGAAAACAATATATTCAGTTTGCACTTATACAAACATATATTCTTTTAAAGTGTATTATTTCTGTAATAAGTACTCTTTTTAAACGTATGCTAAATTATACTTCTTTTTCACAAGGGGTTGTATTCACTCTATATCTGTCCATTCTTCTCATGTGGACTTTAGTCTGTACTGTTGAATGTACTAACAAGCATGTAGGCACTAAAATATACTTTAATGTAATTTCTTTTGAGACTTTTAAGCACATTTCTTTTACAGGACCACACATGAATATGCATACAGTATATATA